TTTTTTTTTTAATCCAGCAACCACTACTAGAGGGGGTGATAAGAGCAGCCGCCTCTAGTAGCTGTCCCTAGCTGCTCCATCTATTGGTGGGGAGCTGCATCTGCTGGAAACCGGGTCCAGCGTCCCTGTATAACAAGATCATCCACAAGATTAGCTCGAGAGCATTCCGCCAGCATTGATTACCCCAGATTACCCAGGGTGATTAACCGAACGGTTAGGAAGGCTGTGGAGACAGAAGTGCCTCTTCACCCCTCGTCTAGCCTGGTGTCACTCCTGCCCTCAGCAACTTTTTCTTTTGACAAAAGGGTGATAGTTCTGGCCCCACTTTCTCATCCACCCTAAACACCGCCAGCCTCCCATTTCAACTCCCTCTAACCCACCTCAACTTTTCAAAATTTCAACAATTTATTGATTTTATTTATTTATTTTTTATTTTATTTATTTTTTTATTTTTTTTACATTTGCTGTCCGGTTACATCATCATTCGTCGCGAACTTGCGATAGAGAAGGTACTCTGCCTCTTCCCTCCCCTCCCCCTCCCCTCCCCTCCCCTCCTCATCCCCCCGTTTGCCCACTAAGCTGTGTAGATGTGTGGTGCGACATTTTTTTTATTATTCTGCTGTGCAGTATTTGGTGCACACTCTCCTCACCGCACGAAATGCAATTGCCTCTTCAGCACTGTCATCACCTCACTCAGTGGAAGTGCTTACTTCTTCAGCACTGTCATCCTTCAACATGTGATGTTTTACACGATCATGGAGGGGACTTCAATGTCCCTCTGCCCATTTCTGAGTCCCTAACTTGTCCAATCCTATCGCGAGAAAATGCTTCATAAAGGGGCGGGTGCCGGGGGGAGGGAGAGGGGGGGGGAGGATGTAAACAAAAAAGAGCGGGTGCCGGGGGGAGGGAGAGGGGGGGGGAGGATGTAAACAAAAAAGAATGGCTGCATCAGGAAAACTAACTTGGAAGAAGAATTCGTTTTGGCAACAGTGGAGCCGCACCTGCCTCAAGGAACGCTTACAGCACTCGCACGGCCAGCCAAGATCCAGGCCAGCTCCCGGCCGGTCGCAAACGAGGGCCGATAGTTTGACGAGCGTCGTGCTATCGAGGACGTCTGCTATCAAGGACCTCGGCTTAGGAGGGTATAAGGACGACGCACCTTTGCATGACGGTGGATGACTGCCATAATCAGTGTGGCCTGATGATAAGAGCTTGCTGGCAAGCGCGCTGCGGAATGCGCCTGGCAGTTCTAATCGGACATCAACATTGTTGCCAGACAATATAAGGACGACACATCTTCGCATGACGGCAGCTGATGACCATAATCGGTGTGGGCTAAAGATAATTAAAAGAGCTTGGCGGCAAGCGCACTGTTGAATGCGCCTGGGCAGTTCTATTCAGACATCAGCATTGTCGCCAGGTCGGGAAGACCGACGCGACGTCCATCATGGCATCTGACGGCGAACGCTATGCATTCGTTGCCCATTGGTTGGATCCTCACTCATCCATCATCTGGAAGTACCAGCTCATGTTCTTCACTGCAGACAACTCAATTGCAATGTATGATATCAAGAACAAGCGGTCCTTTCTGAAGCGAACTCCCTACCCGTCGATTCGTCCCGAGGACCTTTACATCGGGGCCACGGTCACGGTCTATTCCAGGCAGCTCAAAGTTGTGGGGTACGACGATGAGTACACGAAAAAGCGGCTCGAACACATACAAATGACGTTCGCTCTGATCAAGCCGGACGGAGTCGAAAAGTTTGGGGAACTTTTGACAGAGATTTACAAGCATGGGTTTGTGCTGAAAAGACTGAAAATGTGCACCATGTCGCCGTCCGAGGCGCGGGAATTCTACAAGCCTCATTCACAGGAACCAATCTTTGAGGAAATGGTGCTGGCCTTGTGCAGCGGGGAGGTCATTGGAATGGAGATCATCGGCGACGATGCCACCGCCAGGTGGCTGAAGCTCATTGGGCCACGGGACCCAGGGATAGCAAACCTCGAAGCTCCAAACTCGTTACGCGCCCGATTTGGACGCGACAAGATCAACAATGCTCTATATGGTGCAGACTCCAAGGAAGATATGGAAAGGCTAAGGACATTGTTTTTTGAGACCCCTGGGTTTGGCAAATGCCCTGCTCTTCAAAAGGACAGTACGCTGTGCATCATCAAGCCGCATGCTGTTCTCGCCGGGATTGCAGGAGAGATTATTCAACACATAATGCAGAGCTTCAACATCTCCGGGATGGAGTCCTTTAATATAAGCCATGTCGACGCAGCAGAATTCTGCGAAGTGTACAGAGGTGTCGTCCCGGAATATACGCTTATGGTACAGGAGCTGTCTAGCGGACCCTTAATTGGGATTGTGGTCTCCGGAGTGAAGAATCCAGTGGCCTCTTCCGATTGCGAAGGGACAACGGAGGCCCCTCCAAAGACGATAGTCGGCATCTTTCGGGATTTCTGTGGGCCAGCAGACTCCGAGATCGCCAAGATTGTCAGACCGAAGACATTGCGTGCTATGTTTGGTATTGACAAGGTTAAAAATGCCGTCCATTGCACAGATCTAGATGAAGACGGTCTGCTGGAATGCCAGTTTTTCTTCAAAACACACCCAAAGAAATGAAGCAAGCACTGCATCTGCAAGCCAGAAGACAACAGTTTGCTTCTGTCCTTTGTGTTTTATAACTTTTCTTTTTCCCTTTTTTTTTGTTTTTCAATTCTGGTCTTTCCGCTCATGGGACCCAACAATTCTCCCTCGCAATTCCCCCCTCCTCTCCGCCCCCTCCTCCCACAGGTAGTCCTACCGTAGCGTCTCCTCTCCTTCCCCCTGCGACTGGCTCTATGCACCTTCTTGCAGCCACCCCATCAGTTCACCCAGTAGCTGGGCAGTGTTTTTTTCTGAGCACTTTCTGATCTGGCCTTCATCCGTGCATGCACGGAATCGAACCGGCACCCTTAGCCGAAAGAGCCAAGTCTTTTAACTTTTAAGTTTTAACCAGTGGTCTATATAATAAGTGAATGATCTGCTCCCCAGCCTCCCCTCAACTGACTGGTTCTGCAATAATGGGTGAACCCCAGGTACGTTTGTTGTCCTCTTCTCCCTCTCTGCCTACGGTTTACCGGGCAGTTCTATTTGACAATATATATATATCAGTTATTTTTTGTTTTTTCTTTGGGGGGGGGGGGGAGTCCCTTTTTTTTCATAAATCCATTGCAGGCTGGGAAAAGGGCCCAGGGTATATCAGTTTTTGGTTATTACCACCATCATTATTACGTTGTCTAAGTTCTCCTTTACTTGGAAGACTGGGAGCTGTTAAGGACAGGTTGATTTTTGCTCTTTGCTGTGGTTGGGGTTAAGCCTGGCCGGTGAGCCTGGCTCATCCCTGTGGGCCACGGGCCACGACTATTAATGTGAGGGACGCTGGGCCCGGTTCCCAGCTTGCAATAAAAAAACCTCAATCTTTTTTTTGAAAAAAAGAAAGAAGAAAAAGACAAGCATTCTACTGACTCCATCAATCATGCTGAGGATGAGGTGTCAGTGCAAGGCATCGGATGTTTTTTTTTTTTTTTTTTTTTTTTTTTAA